GTCTCTTAGAATACACTTTTTTTTTCGTTTTTTTTAAGCGTTACTTTGCTTTTCATATACTCTTAACTTTACATTTATTAGGAAAACTATCAATTCCATTTATTTTGTATAACTCAAGTTTCTATTATTCCAATAGAATACAACAGTACAATTGAATGAATAGTAAAATATAGTGCAGATTATGTATACATTTACATACATTATATTAACAAGAGAAAAGAGCTAAAATGAAATATAGAAGACCAACAAGCCAATACTCAAGCATCTGGACCGTGAGATCTTCAAATGTATCCAACTATGGGATTTAAAACCAGTTCGATGTGTCGTGGATCAAATTCATGGAGAAGGAATAAGCTGTATAACGTAACAAAGAGACACTGCATGAAAGCAATAACATGGAGATTTATTAATGTGTCACTGTCTCATTTACTGTAAATAATTTCTAAAAAATAAAATCTGTTAAGTTTTTTCAGCTGTGACTCCCGCCGTAGTTTTTTTTTTTTTTTTAATAATCACCATTTGTATCAGCAACCATAAACTTGACTGTTTAATGAAAACAAAAATTTCTGTGAAAATGGACTGAGATTACTATACAGACACTTTATACTGTATGCCACTTTTTTAGATTTATTTAATATATGATCAATATGACAGACCATCAATATTCAGAACACTTTGATATGTTAATATCCCCCATATTCCAGTTACTACCACCAACACACATGTAAACCTATAACAATCAAGAAAACGTACAGACACATCCACATTAACATCACACTCTTTATAAGCCAACTTTATCTGCATCCACCATTCTCTTGTATGCATTTTCTTTTTTAAGTATTCTTAACATCTCTCTCACCTATTTATCCTGAATGAATTGCTGTAACGTTCACTAGGGAACCCTAACATGCAGACAGGACAGAGTAGAGAGAATTGCAATATCGATCCTTAGAATGGTCGGGTTATGCAAAAAGGGATAGTCAAAACAATAATGAGAGACAAAGTCAAATATCAGTAACCAGGAAATCCAAATAACAAGTGCAACACTCGATGGTAAACCAAAGACCACAACAGGGCACTGAGGCAAAGGAGAGGTTAGCTTATATACACACACAGGGTGTCTCTGATTGGCTAACCTCCAATTAGTGTTAACCACAACACGTGGGAGGAGTTTATTCCCTCCCTTGTGGTCTCTGAGGTCATCACTGTGTGCCAGGACACCATAAAACCTGTACATAGGGGGTTCTGTTTTACTTTGGAGTATCCTTTTTTCACATTGAAATTTGCCTGATTGGTTATGTTGCTTTTGAGACCATATGGTAGCCCAGGAATGAGAATTACCCCCATGATGGCATACCATTTGCAAAAATAGACAACCCAAGGTATTGCAAATGGGGTATGTCCAGTCGTTTTTAGTAGCCACTTAGTCACAAACACTGGCCCAAATTAGCGTTCAATATAGTTTTTTGCATTTTTTACACACAAATATGAACGCTGGCAAATTTCATTGTGTATATACTGAAAAATGTAATGTGCTATAGTTGACCCTGTAACTTTCCAAAACACCATAAAACCTGTACATTGGGGGTACTGTTATACTAAATACAAATACGTGTACTTTATTGCAGTAACAGCTAACAGTATTATGCTATTCACAGTTAAAATGCCATGCAGAACTAAAAAAAAAAAAATAACATACTTAATATGCAATTATTTGATGTGACATGAAAGCCCTTTTTCTCCTGAACAAAATTATATATGATAAGTGTGTGTGCACATAATATGAAAGACGTGAACTGCACCTGAACAGACATATAGCGCAAATTCAAGGTTTTGTTTACGTTTTGAATTGATCACAACTTGTACAATTGGCTCAGTCCTTAAGGGGTTAAGAAATACGTTGATTTTTGTTGAAGGAGAAGTATAGCTTTACTTTAGAGAAGTTTAATTATTTTTCATGCTTGATGAGGTGCGTTGCATCTATATAATATATAAGAGCACATCTTGTGAAGGTAAGTGTGCTTGTGAGATTTCTTCATCTTCGCAAAAGCTCAAGCAGATGTTTCCAACTAGTATGTAATTGTTGCTACATTTCACAAATCAGTCTTGATGATTTACCGCTAGGATTACAATGTTCCAAAGTTACAAACCCATTTTGATGGCAAACTGATTGAGTTGTAAAACATTTTATAATACAACTAATACCGTTAGTCTCAATTCCTGGCAGTTTCCAAAAATCTAAATACGATGTTTCAAAATAAGCCGGAAGAACAATTGTATCTAATGAAAAACAAACTTTGTTTTGTGAGCTAGTCAGATCTTCATTTAGAGTTATCTTAAGCAGTAGTCCTTTTTTAGGTTTTAATTACAGTATTTTCTGGCGTATAAGATGACTTTTTAACCCTGGAAAATCTCCAAAGTCGGGGGTCGTCTTATACGCCGGGTATAGGGTCTATATAGCTGCCGGGGGCTCCCTGCGCCCCCATCGCTGGCCCTTCTAATGCTGCAGCCGCCTGAGCGCTCTATAGGGAGCGCTCAGACGGCTGCCGCACTGCCTCTCTTCTCACCTCCCCTTCCCTGTGCAGAGTGGGTGGCCGAGCTCCTCTTCGTCCTGTCAGTCCGGCCGGGTACCGCGCGGTACAGGAGATTCAGTTACCTGTTCCCGGCCGGACTGACAAGCAGAACAGCCAGCTCCCCCTGCGGCCGCCTAAAGAGCTCCCTCTGCGGCCGCAGGTGAGCCGGCCCCAGGTGCCGACGGCCCACTGGGAAATTTCCCGGTATCCCGGTGGGCCAGTCCGGCCCTGCTCACCCTCTATGGACAGTTCGTCGTAGAGGTCTGAGCAGCCGCCTGAGAGGGCGCCCATTTTGGGTCTGCTTGCGCCCTGCGCCTGCCTTCATAGTTCTCCAATATTCACCCCCATGTGTGGTCTGTTGGACTTGGGATTTTTATTTTTGCACCCCATGTCTTCTGGGCTAACTGCTGATATCTCCCAAATTCAACTAGTCGGGGAACAGCTCCAATAATCGGTTTTCAGTTGCATGAAGTCCAGAGCTTCAGGAACATGCAAACATCTTCTTCAGTGGCTAAGTCCTGCCCCTCCCCCCAACATATTTTATCCAGCCCCCTCAATATAATTTATAGAGCCCCTAGCACATATGCAATATCCCCAACATAATTTATACAGCCCCTCAGCACAAAAACAGTCACTCCCACATATTTTATACAGCCCCAGCACATATACATAGAAAACATACATACATAAGGTGGAGCTTCTTGTATACACGTTCTGAGGATATCTGTAATCATATAAATATAAAACACAGAATAGTGCAATATTGTTGTAGCAAATGTAATTATATCGAAAGGCGTATATGGTGTCACTCACAGGTCTAGAGTCATAAACCACATATGACTCGGATGGTAAATGCTTGTGGACTATTCCAGGATGCCCAATCCTTTCTTTTCCTCTCAATTCGGCTGGGGAACCTGGATTCTTCAATCTTTCTCCACAGAGATGATCTTCCAATGCTCCCAATATTAAGTGGATATATCTAGGGTACCACAGCCAAGGACTTATCAATAATTCGCCTTTATTGGAAAACCCTAATACATCTAGATTAAAAACACATATATCAAAAAACTTAAATATAAGATAAATATAAATACCGGATACAAATGTCCAGATAAATATCCAAAATGTCCAATGTTCTGCTACTCTAACATGAAGGCAACGAATAGTTCTTCCTATATATAACAAATTGCACGAACATTGTAGGAGATATATTACTCCTTTGGCGTAACATGAGAGATGGTCTTTAATTTCAAATTTCTTATTAATAAATGGTTCTAGATCTACTATATGCCTTTTTTTGCTTTTAGTCCCTCTACATGCTAAGCATGATCCACAACCAAAAAAACCTTTGCTTTGTGTTAGAAAACTCTCACGAGGGGTTATATTTCTTAAACTACTCTGTGTTAATGTTCTTTTTAAATTGCTTGCTCCCCTATAAATAAGTTTTGGTTTCATTGGGAGAATGGCCTTAAGAGTTGGGTCATCTCGTAAGTAGTGCCAATATTTTGTTATGATGTTATGTACTTTCTTATTGTTTCCATTATATCCACAAATGAAGGGAATATCGTTGTCGTTCCATTTTTCTCTCTTTTTCTGCTTATAAGTCAAAAGATTTCTTCTAGGGATGGAACCAACTTCTTCCAAAACCCCTTGCAATTTCTCTTCTTCATACCCCTTTTCCAAAAAGTTCTTCTTTATTCGATTTGCCTGATTCAAAAAATCCTGATCTTCTGAACAATTACGTCTAATACGTAAAAATTGTCCTCTAGGGGCATTATTTAACCATGGTTGGTGGTGACAGCTTTCTTTCTTAACCCCTTAAGGACACAACTTCTGGAATAAAAGGGAATCATGACGGAAGGTCAAGGAAGCTAATTTCCTCTACACTTTTTTGTGCTATATAACCGAACGTTACGAAATTAATGAAAAACTGCATGAAATAATAGTTTGAGAAATACAACAACTTGGTGTTCATATGTTTGAGCCGGACAAGTGCGTTCGTGCGCATGCTCCCGAAAGCCCACCAAACCTAAGTGGGATACGAACAGGCTGGAAATAGCTGAAATACAGTACTATAGCCTAATCGTTCGCATAGCCCCCAAAATACAGAAAAGCAAACAGATGTATGTGAAAAGAGAGTAAAGCATAGAGCAGACCCGGAATAACGCAGAGCGCCCGCTACTGAGGTGCTCGGTTTTAACGATTCAGTCAACGAAGTGACTGGAGTAGATACGGGAGTCCTGTTGAGGCTCTGGAGAGTTGGAGAGAGGACAGCGAACGGACGACCAGGGGTTGCAGGACCAGGTAAGAGCTCCCACGAGTTGAAGGTAGGTAAAATGGCAATTTGCAGTGACTGGAAGTCACAGTATGCAAATCGCCAGACTGAACAATAATGGGAAGTGGTCTGACGTTCTTAAGAAGGGAAATCAAGCCCCTCCCACAACTCCAGGCTCCGCATTTACATATATATATATATATATATATATATATAGATATAATATTTTTTTCCACAGCCCCCCAGTCATAGTATACATACCCTTGTTTATATATATTTATATATATATATATATGTAAAGGCGGAGCCTGGAGTTGTGGGAGGGGCCAGTGCTGATATAAATACCCTCGGCTCTATACTCCTCCTAGGTTTTCGTTACGTTTTGAGCGTGACGTCCCTTCTGGGTATTCTCCAGCGTGCAAGCAGACATGAGGGCCGCGTTAGAAGCCTAGCTACCTGACCAGACTTTATTTTCAGTACAGTGAGTTGTAATACGGCAAGAGAACACGCTCAAAGGGGAGGGAAAGTTACTTACTTTTGCATCGTACTTGCATCCGATATTAACCCTTAATGGACCTCACGAATATCTCCTTATATGTGCTTAGATTATAGTGACTTTTATTCTACGTGGGGTTGGTCAGTTATGCCATCTGATTGCCACTTGTGGATGAGGTATGTTATTATGTGTTATGCAAAGAATGGTGGGATAGATCCTGACTACATTAAGTCAGAAGGAACAGAGAAACACCTGGTTTATTCTTATTTTCACCTAGGCAATATGTATTTTTCACACAGATTCTGTTTCATCATAGTTAATTTGTTGCGTTCTGTTAAAAAAAGGGTTAGAGGCTGCTTCTATCAAGTTTACCACTCAAGTACAATTTATGTTCTGCTGGTTATAACAGGGTACGTGTACATTTAAGATATGACTCCTATGACAAAGCATTGCATACTTAAGTACAACAGCTTCACAGTATCTGGTATTAACATGTCACTGAAATGTTAAAAAATCACAACAAATAACTTCACGATTACTATTGTCATGGTATATAGCGGTTACATCCCAGATATTAGTCTTCAACACTAAGGGATCCACGGTCAATTAAATATTGTTGTATAAATATTCACGTTAGCGGCAACGTCAGAAGGGTGTTAACTAATTAAAGGAACACCAAGTGGTAACACTACTCATACCAGACTTATGTTGCATGGACCTATATACCAATATTCTTGTATTAAATGCTAGTAGTCATTTTTACTATTGTAAAACAAGCCATATCATTCTGTCATATACTGAGGATCAAAGATACGTGCATCTTATAGTATCCATGTTGCATATTTTATAGACTAGCATCGGCGCATGGAAACATCTAGATTTACTACGACTATTAACCTGGCTGAAGATTTCTAAAATGTCATTCTTGACAAACCAGGTAGGCATCATTCTTTTGACCATGTACGGACTCAGTGTCTTAGTTATATTTTCCTTTCCACGTACTTTAGGGGCACAAATTATCAGGGAACCTTCTAGACTTGGCTTACGCACTATAGCTACAAGTCTTGCAGGTACATTGCCCGACATCACGTATACAAACCAGAGAAACCTACACGTTTTCCTTTTTCTCAGTCCTCTATGGAGTAAGTTACTGGCAATAGGCAATAGGAGCCATATTTAGTTTCTATAGGCCTCTATGCCTTTTATTAGTGGTCCCGCAAGGCCAACACCCATCCTCATACTTGGAGGTATTTGTTTCGGTCCTCTGTCCAACACATAGCTAGCCACCTCGCATATTGCATAGAGAGGGACTCACCTGTCACAGCCAATTCTATTTTTCTTCTACTACTCACGGAGAGGCCAACACCCCACAAGTATGTTCTGTGGTATTGCCCTCGGCCCAACACATAGTTAGAGCCTCTCAAGCCGCTTGGCACTAGTAGGGCATCACCTATCACCAATGAAGCAAATTTCTTCGACGCTTGGCACTAGTCAGTAGCCAGTGTAAACATTCTAAATCAATTTTCCTTTGTAGTATGTCTCAAGCTCCAGAAGGTGGAGACGAGCTTTCACTCCCTCACTCCCCAGCTAGGTCTGGTTCACCTTCCAGAGGAAGAGAATCTGTCAGTCTATCATCAATTAGGTCATGGACCATTCCGCGCATACAGGCCGAACTACGAAGGAGGAGCATTCCATTCCCGGCTACTGCCAGGAAGGCGGAATTGTTCAGATTAATGTATACGAACACCGATAACACCGGAGCTGGGGAAGGGTCTAGTGGCACCAGGAACATGCCTGACTTACAAACAATGATGGACACTCTCCTCTCCTCCATGGGCCAGATCAGGGATAGGATTGGCCATACAACAACTGATCCACCTTTGACCAATGCCATGTCCCTAGCGGCCGCTACGGCAATCTTACAGGGTAATGTTGTAACTCCGGTATCACAGTTAGATACACTAATGATCACACCTGCCCACATGGTGCCCCTTCAGCTCTGTAAAGATATCCTGGAGGGTAAGGACGTGAATCTTATATCACTCCTTATTGCTTCCCAGGATATAGTGGAGAAAAAAACCTATGCTTATGGAGATCTTTCAGTAGTCCTCAAGGCCAGGGATCCCAGGCTCAATAAAAAACTGACCATTCCAGAGTTTGTACTGGCATTTGGGATTTACAGAGATGTAGTATGTACCAATTCTCCTCAGAGAAGAGAAGAATTGGATACATACATGCACAAGCTGGTTGACTTGGGGCACAAGTACGGCGGATATGCTTTCTAGGATTATCATAAGTCTTTTACAGCTAAGGCGGCAGCAACTCTGGCCCAGTTTAATACAGTGATTAATTGGAGTAGGCTGGATACAGAGTTGTTTTGCAGGCATTTCACCAGCCTCAGGACACCAGCTTGTGCCTTGTGTTCATCTACCTCCCACAGTAACAACTTTTGTCCCGCTGACACCTCAGTTGCAGTGCAACAAAACCCTGGTGTGCCTGTAAGATCAGAGAGAGTAATAAAGGATAAGCTTGGCAGGCCCATTGTATTTCTCGGGAAATCCCAGATATGTAACAATTTCAATGCTGGGGTCTGCGGGTTTAGTGCTTGTATGTTGTTACATGTGTGTACTCAATGTTTTCGTGCTCACTCCAAAACCATGTGCCCTAATAAACTAAATGCTAAACAGTATTTCACATCTGTTGATATTTTCCAGTTGTCTCAACTATTAGCATCTCACCCTTCACCACAGTTCACTAACTTCTTGGTCTCAGGTTTTTCAGAGGGCTTTCACACGGATATTGTAGCGTTACCATTCGGTATTACCGAAAGTAAAAATGTACGATCTGCTGTCAACGACCCAAGTGCAGTTGATTCACTGTTAACACAGGAACTGAATCAAGGGTTTGTCATAGGCCCCTTTTCCACACCCCCATTCTCTAGTTGGCATACAAACCCGATCAGTATTGTAACTGGGAAACACTCTTCAAAGAAGAGACTGATTACAGATCTTTCTGCACCTCACTCCTCCACCATTCCCAGTTTGAATTCATTAATCCCTCCGGAAGAATTCTCATTGCAGTACACCACGATAGATGACGCAGTACAAACCATTATAGCGGCAGGGATAGGAGCATGGTTAAGCAAAACAGATATTGTTAATGCCTTTAAACTGCTTCCTATTCACCCGTCGCTGTGGCATCTGCATGGTATTAAATGGAGAAACCAGTATTATTTTTTCAACAGGCTGACTTTGGGTCTAAAGTAGCCCGAGGATATTTGACACCTTCATGGAGGCCTTATGCTGGTTACTCTTAAATTCATGTAGATGCCCATCACTACTACACTACCTGGATTACTTTATCTTTATAGAGAGTAATCATAACCCACTTTCAAGTCTTCAGGCCGCCAAACAGCTGTTTGGAAGCTTGGGGGTCCCTATTTCCCTTTCCAAAACTATAGGTCCAAATACTATGGTCAACTTTCTGGGTATTGAACTGGACTCGGTGGCCATGGAGGCCAGCTTGCCGCATGACAAGATTCAACGTATCCTAACAGACATTGGTGACTACTTGCAACGAGGTTGTTGTAGTCGGAAGGAGTTACAGTCATTGCTGGGGTCGTTGAATTTTGCCATGAGAATCATCCCGCAGGACAGCATGGTTTCTCTGGATACCCATGCCACAGCTGATTTACGAATGTGGCAGGATTTCTTATTCCAGTGGAATGGGAAGTCAATGTTCATACCTCCACTGCTATATATTAGAATCTTGTTGATGAGGCTAGGCCTTAACCCCTCACACTACTCAGGGCATTCTTTCCGTATTGGAGCAGCTTCAGCAGCCTCACATAGGAACATACCCATTCATATTATCAAGTCTCTGGGGCGCTGGAAGTCTACAGCATACTGTAGATACAAACCACAACCAGAGACAGAAATCAGACAAGCTTTCAGACATTTGGCATTATGATGTTATGTATTAAGTTATTGTTGATGGAATAAATCTTTTGGCATACATCTTTTTGCCTAATTTATTTACAGGTCTACTAATACGTTGGTTTCGGCAAACTTCAACCTAATTAGTCATACTCCTATTGGTATGAGAAGTTATCAATTATACTTACGGCTGTTATTGTCCTGACCACAAATATATATATATATATATATATATATCTCAATCATATGGCTGGTTTATATAATATTTATATTTTATATTATTATATAAAACAGCTATATATATATGTATTATATAAACCAGCTATATAATCGTGGTTTTTACATAGGTGTGTGTGTGTGTATGCATATATTATATATATGTTGGTGTGTGTACATGTGTGTGTGTATATATATATATATATATATATATATTAAAAATATATGTGTAAATATATGTGTGTGCGTGTGTATATATGTATGTGTGTATGTATATATATATATATATATGTGTGTGTGTTGTTGTTTTTTTTGGGGGGGAGGGGAGAGGGGTTTGAGGGTATGATCAGTGGTGTATCCTGGTTTTGTGCTGCCCTAGGCAGGACAAAACTCAAGCGCCCCCCCAACCCTTCCCACCGCCCCGCCTTCTAAATACACACACACACATTCACTGACAGATACGCATACACTCGCTAACAGAAACACACACACACACTAACAGACACACACTCACTGACACTCACTGACACAAGCAAACACACTCACACTAACAGACACACACACAGTCAGACACACACACAGTCAGACACACACACACATACACTCACTAACACACAGTCAGACACACACATACACACTAACAGACACACACTCACTCAGTAGCAGACACACACACAGACACACACACATTAACAGACACACTCACTAACACACACACACTAACAGACATATACACACACTCACTCACATTAACACATTTTTATTTTTTTTATTTACCCCCCCCCAGCTCCTTACCTTTGGGGGGGGGATTCCGTCTCTCCCTGGGGGTCCAGTGGCTGCTGGGCTGCTGGGTGGGCGGGCGGCTGGCGAGGGAGCACTTCCTCTGAGCTGTCTGCTCAGCTCCCTCGCGCGCCGCAGAGTGAGGCTGGGGGCCGGAAGATGACGTCATCTTCCAGCTCCCGGCCTCACTCAGCGGTGCGCGAGGGAGCTGAGCAGACAGCTCAGAGGAAGTGCTCCCTCGCCAGCTGCCCGCCCGCCCAGCACCGCCCGCCTACTCGGCATGTCAGTTAGCCGCGAGGCAAACAAGGCATTTGTCCTGGGCATTTGGGGGGCGGCGTTTTTTGCTGCCCCCTGAAAAATGCCGCCCAAGGCAAATGCCTTGTTTGCCTCGCGGCTAAAACGCCCCTGGGTATGATTGCATGCCGTGAGGGGGCAGGATCCACAGGACCCAAGCAAAGCTTGTCCAGGGTCCAATCACTATTAAAGATGGCCCTGGTCACATGTATGTGCATGCACGGTGCTGCCCTCCACTGAGAATCATAATATTCAATGACTCTCTATGGCAGAAGCATTTGTGCATGTGCCTATGGTCCTCAATGCTCTGAGAAGCATTGGACTGAATCATTATTGTCGAGCCACATCTCCAGGATGACATCAGATGAGGAGGCAGCTGCGATGGCACAGATGGAGACTTTGCGCTGGAGAAAATGTGAGTAATTACATTTTTATTTGTTAAGTTTTTTGTTTTTTTAACATTGGGGGGTTGAGGAGGATGGGGTGGGGGTGGGGCTAAACTTAGCAAACACATCAAGACTAAAACATAAGGAAAGTAATGCTGCAGTGTTTGTTTTTTTAAGTAACTAGCCAGGCAAGTGTTAAAACAGAATATAAATGAATGCAAAGTTATGCATTCGGGATAAAAAACAAATAACTAAAAATGGGTTCAATTGGGGGGATATATAAGGGAATCACTTGAGAATTATTGTATTATTTGTGTGTAACAAACTAGGCAATAATATGCAGTGTCAATCAGAATTAGCAAAGGCCAGTAAGATATAATCAAGCATATAAAGGGGTATTTACAAGAAAAAATATTGTCGCACCTTTATAAAATAGCAGTAAGACCTCCAACTTGAATGTGTATTGCAATAACAGACCATTTAAACAAATATATTATGGTACTGCAAAGTACAGAGGGCTACAAAATTAATAGAAATGGAAGATTTTAGTTATGAAAGGCTATATAATTTGAAAAATACAGAAGATAGAATAAAATCTTAAAGGACCACTATAGTGCCAGGAAAACATACTCGTTTTCGTGGATCTATAGGATCCTTGGGTGCCCCTCACTCTCTGGGCCCCCTCATCCCCCGCCGGGCTCTAGGGGGAGGAAGGGGTTAATCACTTACCTTTTTTTCCAGTGCTGGGCTCTCTCGCCGCTGGGGACTCTCTTCCTCCTTTCCCGTCATCAGCTGAATGCGCATTCAGCCAGTCTCATAGGAAAGCATTCTCAATGCTTTCCTATGGACGCTGGCGTCTTCTCACTGTGAAAATCACAGTGAAGCGCGGAAGCACCTCTAGCGGCTGTCAATGAGACAGCCACTAGAGGCTGGATTAACCCTAAAGTAAACATAGCAGTTTTTCTGGGTGGTCTGGTCTGGGTGCCCATAGTGGTCCTTTAAACATATATATACGTCTAAGATTTTATCCTATCTCCTGGTCATTTGTACGGAGGGGTGGGAGAGGGGTGTGGTAGTGTGTTGTGGTGTGTGTGTGTGTGTGTCTAGACTTGATGAAATGAGATTTCCCCACCATCAGCAGAAAGGGTTCTTTACATTAAGAACACAAAAATTACCTCATGCAAATAATTCCACATTTAATTAGTTTATGTGGACTTTAAGACTGCTTAAATATGCTAGTTAGATAATGGGATATGCAAGGTTATAATAAATATGTGAGAACTTGTCCATGGAAAAATGTAATGCTTGTTCTGCATTTCTGAGGACTTTTCTCTGTTGTCTGCAAAAGCAAGATACCAGAGTATTAACCCAGGAGAGCGGTCAGAAATTGGTACTTTCTACATGAATTTGACAGAGTTGGGTGGTGTGCAATAACTTACTGTCTTTGTTAGCATTTGGAGCACACAGTTGCTAGGTATGCATCAATCCTCATTTCCCTTACCTAATTACAAACAGATGTAGTAAGCGGGGGGGAAAAAAGTCTAGAACACAGAGGCAATAATTCAACATCAAAACAGTTTCTTAGTTTAAAAATTTATATTTCATGAAAATGATGCTTATACCTCACAGGGCACAGCATGAAGATTTAATTTAGATTAGAACCACATACCCCCATTCAACTCTACATCGTAACCCCAGTGTGCCAAAAATTGGCTAATGATTCTTATCACCTAACAGACCAGAGAATAGGGATTTATTTTCCAATTGCTAAAAAATTCCTCTAAAATATAATGAAAAATCTTATATTTTACAAACTTTTTACAAACTACTGTTCATTATCAAAGGCCCTTCAGACTTTAGAAAAGATATGCGTCTGCGATGCACAGATTATCATAAGCATAACATGCAGCTAAGCCCACTGATTTATTTCTTTGATTTATATTAGTTTAAATAAATGTATAGTACTTTAATTGAATCTAAATCCATTACAGACCTACTACTGTTTATAACACAATGGAGTATAGTCAGAAACCTTCGGGCAAAAGTCAATATCACCATTTAGTTATTGCCTGACCTGTTACAATCCATTGGCTTGGCCTCTGACTTCTACCTCTTAATAAATATTGTAAAATTCTTGGAATTCCAGGGGACAGCTTCAGAGGTCTGGCTTTTTTCTAACAAGTGAGTCATTTAGTAGTCTGTTTTCAGGAAGCCTGGGTTGGCATTGCTCCATCACAGAAGCTGCAGCTGTGATCTTAGCCATATAAGGCCAGTGACAGAAGAGAAATGCAATTTAAAGAAGATTCCATATTTTCACACATTAATTCCGCATGTGCATGTTCCATGAATGCTTTGCATAAATGTTGTTTTACTTATTGATTGCATTATCAAAATAAAATATGCATGGTATAAGCATTCATGTGGCTAGGTTTAGTTTTAACATAAAAATACATAGTACATTATCCCAAAGGTAAGTAAATACTACACTTTATATAATGTACAAATTTCGGTTTTTATAAAGGTGATTTCCCCTCCCCCTTTAAAAAAGCAGCTTTTAAGAAAGTGACAAAATGCAATTAACCTGTTTATTTTCAAGTTTTTATTTTTTTTCTGTTTTATAAAAAATACAATTTAAAATGTGGGATTCACATGTAGGCTAAATATTTTTTTTGTATGTATTGCTATTACTGATACATCCATAAATATTAAGGATGGTTAACTATTAAAGAAAATTGTTGTATACTCTAAATGAGAATTTCAGAGAAATGTACAGTGACATAGCAAGTCCCAAAATACCCTACTGTAAACGTTAATACTGTATGCTAAATGAAATCATGCCTGCTGTGAGTAATGAAAGGTTTAAGACGATAGTCTTACAATGCCCAAAGCATCCCTCAGGTACTGAAGGGGTAAATAAACTTTTATAAGCAGGGTTTATAATCGAAACTGTTGTATAACTGAACTCAGGAAGAAACTGCATCAGAAGCATTATTAAATCAGGTCACGCTAAGAGGATGAATTATAGGGGCTCTGGGAAGGATAATTTGTGTGCAGTCCTCATGTGTGATCATTTAATGTGTTGGAATGGTCTCTGTGGTAACATTCTGTTTGTCTAAAAAGTTTGCTGGGACTCGATTTATGTTTATGCGACAAAGATTTTCTATATTGTAATGCACAGAAACACACAGTGCTATCGCAGAAGGCTACTATTTTAGTGGTATAGCATTGTCTTCTTTGTCTGGCAGCATGTGAATGATGTGCACAATTTATATTTTTGGTCATAGGCACTGTTAGCTGGGAAAGCTGAAGCCTGGATGTATGACTCTTCAACTAATCATCTCTACTGGCAGTGGTGGTGGTAAACAGGGCCGGCCTAAGGGGGGTACAAGATGTGCGGCCGCATAGGGCGTCATGGAGCAGGGGGCATAAATTGGAAAAGAGGGACTAGTACTTCAGCAAGGGGCAACAGGTTTTTGAATGTGTTAAATGACACCTTTATGTCACAACTGGTACAAGCATCAACTAGAAAGGATGCTTGTCTGGATCTTGTCATAACAAACAATGTTGATCTTTTAACCAACATTCAAGTAGGGGAGCATTTGGGAAATAGTGATCACAATATGGTAAATTTTGAAATAAACTCAAAAAAGCAAAAGCAAGTGGGGTATACTAAAACATATAATTTTAAAAAAGCCAATTTCAATAAGATTAGGGCAGCTCTACAACACATCGACTAGCATAAAACAAACAAACTTCAGGAGTCCCTGCTTCCCCCCAACAACTAGATTACAGCTGCACTCCCTCCACTCCTCCTTTTCAGCGAATAATGAAAAGAGGTAAGTGTGTATGTGTGTGTGACTGTCTGCCTGTGTGTGTGTGACTGTTTGCCTGTGTTTGTGTGTGTTTGTGTGTGTGACTGTTTGCGTGTGTGTGTGTGTGTGCGTCATTGTCTGACTGTGTGTGACTGACTACCTGTGTGTGTGTGTGACTGTGACTGTTTTCCTGTGTGTGTCTGACTGTCTGTCTGTAATTGTGTGTGTGACTGCCTGTAATTGTGTGTGTGACTGTTTGCCTCTGTGTGACTGTCTGCCTGTTACTGAGTGTGTGTAAGTGCCTGTAACTGTGTGTGAATGTCTGCCTGTAACTGTGTGTGTGTGACTGTTTGCCTGTGGGTGACCGTAACTTTGCCTGTAAGACTGTAACTGTGTCTGTGTGTGTATTTGACTGTAACCTGTGCATGTGTGACTGTCTGATGTAACTATGTGTGTGTCTGTGTGTCTGTGTGACTGTCTGCTGTAACTGTGTGTGTGTCTGTGTGACTGTCTGCTGTAACTGTGTCTGTGTGTGTGACTGTCAGCCTGTAACTGTGAGTGTGTCTGTGTGACTGTCTGCCTGTAACAGAGCGTGTGTGACTGTCTGTCTGTGTGTGACTGTAACTTTGCCTGTGTGTGTGACTATGATTGTCTGCCTGTAACTGAGCAGTCTGACACCTCTGGCCTGCATTTTTGCTGGCTGAGACCATCAGAAGCTGTCTTCCGAGCTCCGGCCAATCAGTGCATTGCTGCGGATTACAACAGTAAAGCTATGACACTGTAAATGCCTGCGCTAACAAGGCAGTTACTCATAGACTGCAATCGGTGAAGGGGCAGACCAGATTCCCAGCCCACTGGAACACCAGAGATCATCATTGCCACTCTCACGCAAGGTAACAACTGGGAAGGCAGAATTAATATTTATTTTTAAATTATTATTAATGTAATAAATCCCCTACACAAACACACATACATGGATGAAGGTGTATGACCTGGGGGGGAGGAGGAGATGTGAAGTTTTTCGCACAGGGCACATAATGGTCCAAGCCCGGCGCTGGTGGTAAAAAAATTATACCTTAAGGTAGTTGTTTAGATGTTAGACAAATCAGTTAGTACAGCATAATAAATATCGCCACACTTTAGAAGGTATGCAAGTTGGACAGGGACTGATGTGATGTGGGCTTCACTTCCAGAAAGGTAGACAAGCAGTCATGGCCAACTTCATTTAGAGAGCCAATGGCCAATGATGTGCTCTTGTCTGAGCGGATAAACCCTTTTCACAGTGCTTACTGGTGACTGGTTTTCCCAGAAGCAAGAAACCAGATGAACCAAATCTGTGAAAGGTGGGAGAGGGACTAAAATCAGAACTGGCTACTTACCTGGCCAGCAACCTATTTTCTTGAAATTATAAAATGATATACATGCAAATTTCAAAACAAGTAGCTAATTTTATAATTATTATTGACTGCACCATTAGTACAAAAACAAGTTAAATTGGTGTTTTGATGCTAGTCTCACAAGTATTGACATATTTCTACCTGTACAAGTGGTGGAGGTACAGTTAAGAAAATTAAGAGTTTATAACACAATTTTTATACATAACATAACCCTTATAGAATACCCACTCAGAGAGGTTTTTAATTAAATTAAACCAGAATACTAAAGCGTAATACCGGCCATATAGTGGCTGGACTTAAGGCTATATAGAGTAGTACAAGACAGACCAAGATCAGGAAGACAGAGAATACCGTAAATGAGTAGACAAGCTAAAAGTGAAGGACTTAAAGACTGGAGAATAGTCCAGATACAAGCCACAGTCAGATAACGTAAGTACAGCTACAGAAAACGCGCTCTCGGATAACCACAAAAGCAAATTCAGAAAAGAGTATAGTATAAGGGCCAAAATGAACTTAAATAGCACTAGGAGGGCAGTGACTGACTGGTTGCGGTTATGTGATTTCATAATGTATGTGCGACATCTGTGTGATGACGCACGCTTGTTTGCATTATTATTTGGGCCAGGGAAGGCAAAGCCACATAAGGGTTCCTAAGTGCAGTGGCCAGCGTCAGGTAGAATGCCGGAGGAGAGAGTGGCTGCAGAGGATGCAGACAGAAGCAGCAATATAGGTAAAGTGACATCCTGCGTGGGAATGCGTTCATTGGTCGCTGAGACATGTGATTGATTGTATTTGTATTGTATATTTTTTGCCTTCTCCTTTTTGGTTTATTCCAGAGATTGTCTATCTCCACTTTAAAATAAAAGCTAAAGAATTAACAAATCCATAGGTAAATGTCTGCATTCATTTTAATTCTCAAAATGTTCATCATCCCAATTGTCATTTTTGGCTCGATCCATTAATCTCCTTTGACAGATCACTTTAAAACTGATTTTCAGTCTGCACCTAATGGTGTAACCAAAACAAGTTTGCTGAGATTGTTGAAAGGAGAGTGAATACTCTTCTGTTTTGTATGTTCTTACATTAGCTTGACATGCATTATTTTGATTAAAAACAGATAACATTTTTCTCTTTTGAAAATAATAAAAAGGGACATGAAAACCAAATTTTTATATTCTAAGTAAGCAGAGAAGATAAAAGGGAGTTAGGGGGAGGAAAGGAAGACTTATGGCACAATAAAGCTGAGCCCGAACTCAACTACATGTATTTATTTATTTTAAGGAAGTCATCCTCTCAAACAATACTTTTGGCTAATGAGTCAAAGTATATCCACTTATTGCTATCAATGTGTTTGGTGATTATAATGACAAGAGAACTTAAACATTCCACAATTATGCCTTCTCAAGTGTCCTACCTGAACCAATTAAGGAGTGAGTGGTCAGTGTGTTTGTACTATTTAAGTACCTGAGGGTTTTTTGTTTTTTTAGGGAGACTCTGAGTTCCATAATTTCATTACAATTAAGTTGTCATGGTGAGAGGAGGTCCCAGGCTTAGTCTTACTTGCAGGGACTTCCTTGAGAAGTGTAAATCAACGGGGAAACAAGGATCAAATCCCAATTACACCATCCCTCTGTAGCGTTACTTACCTTAACCGGGGGCCGGTCGCGGTCCTCTCTTCAAGCCGCGCGCGGTCCTGCGGCTCATCCGACTGCTTTAGATGGAAGGCGGGCAGTGACCGCGTGAAGCGGTCACGTGTCCCGCCTGAAACTAAGAGCGCGCCGCGAGTCTCGGGCGCGCTCTTAAAGAGACAGTGGGAGCCTAATTGCCAAAAGGCTCCCATTGGCTCCTGTCATACCACACTCCCTATACAATTACCTTTTGGGGGTGTGGAAGTGACAGGAGCCAATCACTTTCGTTTAAAAGCTATTTAAACTTACCTTTTTCCCTTAGCTCGTTGCCCTATCGTGGTTTCTGTTTCAGTTCCCTTTAGCGCTTGTGGTGTTCAGTTGTGTTTTCTCGTATTGACTTTGGCTTCGTATTCTGACTTCGTTTTCGCTTTATCCTTATCTGTACTGTTTGCCGGCTTGCTGTTTTCCGTGTACCAGACCCCGGCTTGTCCTAGTTTACGCTGTCTCTCTGTGCCCTTGACCTCGGTTTGTTCCTGGCTCTGTCTCCTCTCATATACGTCGAGTCCGGCCATTCTAAGGTCCGGTAGACGTATCTCTCCTCTGTATTGGCTTCTGTTTAGCTGGATCCTGCGTGTAGGGGTATATTCTCGTTACATTACGATAGGGCCATGGACCCCGCAGATTTAGCTCAACAGATGGCGTCCCATGAGGCAAGATTTGTAGAGCAGGATCACCGTATGGATCAGATAGCCCAGGCTCTCCAGACGCTCCTAGCTAGAACCGTTCCAGCAACCACACCTAACCCTCCTACGCCCCTTCTCCCTGAAGTATCTACTTTGCCTAATACTTCGGCCCATTTAACACCTCCTCCTAGGTATGGAGGGGACTCTAAGACTTGCAGAGGGTTTATTAATCAAATTGAATTCCACTTCGAAATGTATCCACGTTCATTTCCCACAGAGAGGTCTAAGGTTGGGTTCTTTATGCACCAACTTACCGATAAGGCACTTGAGTGGGCAAATCCTATTTGGGAAGCTAATGGACCTATGGTACATGATTTCAACAGTTTTCTTACGGCTTTTCGTAGAACTTTTGACACAATGAAAAGGTCAAAGAATGCCGCGAGAGCATTAATGAGAATTAAACAGGGTTCTAGGTCTGTGGCTGATTATGCTATTCAGTTTCGCACTCTTGCTTCGCAGGTAGATTGGACCAACAATGGGTTAACTACTGCCTTCATGGAAGGTTTGTCAGATACGATATTGGATGAGGTAGCAGCTAAGGAGCTTCCTATTGCCTTAGAGGACCTTATTGATTACCTCATTGATATAGATAATAGAATTCGTGACAGGCTCTATACCAAGAACAGGAATAGACGTTTTGTTACACCCATTAACCCCAGAGTTAATATACCA